CCCCGCCCGCCCCGCTGGAGGCGCTGGCGCTACTTGCGGGAGGGGATCTGGGCCGTCCGGGCGGTCTCCGGCCTTGCCGCCTCCTTCGCTTAGGTGCCATGAGGAGCTGAAACAGGGAACTCAAACCCTTGTGTTCAGAACGCTTTACATACTAAGAGTAATGTCTTGTCTCAAGTCGAGCTCTGAATGTGGATGAAGCATGCACTTTGACTAATGCATCTGTTTTGAAGGCTATTCATAAGGCCACATCAAAACATAGTGCTAAGAAGTGTAGTTTGTAAAGCCTTTGAGACAGTGCTCTATCTGCTAGTTTCCAAAGATATGCTATACCACAAGTCACTTCTGGATTATAACTGATGCCGTCGAAGTTCTGTCCTCTAGGCTTAGTTGAAAGCACTACTACAGATCAGGCGGGTTTTTTCCCTCTCTAGAGATCTAAGTGTCGCTCTTAGCAGGTGAGTCTTATGATCTCAAAAACAAGATTGAATACTTGGCTTTCTATTAAGTGATAAAGGAACTTGCAAATGTGGAGGGCAGGCTGTATGTTTCTTCTCAGCTGACAGATTAGGTCCTTCAGTGGTGTTGGTGTTCTGTCTTTCTAAATTAGCACTGTAGTCTCTGGAAAATATGTTGTTGGTTACAAAATGCAAAATACAAACAAGAGGGACTTCATCATTCTTATATCTGAAAGGTGGTTGTCAGGAGGATGGAGCCAGTCTCTTTTCAGTAGCGCCCAGTGATAGGACATGAGGCAATGGGCATAAACTGCAGCACTGGAAGTTCCACCTCAACATGAGGAAAAACATCCTTTACTGTGAGGGTGATGGAGCACTGGAACAGGCTGCCCAGACAGGTTGTGGAGTGTCCTTCTCTGGAGACCTTCAAAACCCAACTGGATGTGTTCCTGTGCAACCTGCCATAGGTGATCCTGCTTTGGCAAGGGGGTTGGACCAGATGATCTTCAGAGGTCCCTTCCAAACCCTACCATTCTGTGAAAAGTCCAAGGTCTTTTTTTTTTTTTTTCCCTCTAATAGCTGATATGATAGCAAATTGCTAGGACCACATACTTCTGTACAGTAGTGTGACTAGAGCATGCAGGGGAATTAATCTCTTCTAGGAGGTAGGTTGACTGTTTCAATATACAGTTGCATTACAGATGTAATGTTTAGTAGACCAAGTGAATATAAAACTGAATTCTGGGGCAAATGCTTCACAATCAGATTTGTGGTATCAGCTGGCAATCTAGGCTTCTCTATAGGGAATGCTGGTATTTATAACTGAACTTGCTACTGTCTTTCAGTGTAGACATAGGCATTACTGTCAGTAGTGTGTGTTTTTAATTATTAAACCTCTACAGACATGTGATGCTGCCAAGAGAACTTTCAAAACAAGTGCCGAAATCCCATCTAATGTCCGAAGAGGAGTGGAGACGACTTGGTGTTCAGCAAAGTCTTGGCTGGGTTCACTATATGATCCACGAGCCAGGTAAGCACATCTGAACAGCATTAGACGAACAAAAGTCTGAACTATCAACTGCCTGGTGCTGAATTGAAACGTGTAGTGCATATTTGCTCCTGCTGTGGAACCTAGCTGGAGGTCACTACTGAATGTTTAGACTCCTCTGTATTTCCTTGCTATTTCAGCCACTTGGCAACAAGGGCAACATAACTGTTATTTTAAGCCTTCATATCTTGCTCCCAGAACTGCAAAATGCTAGCCTTGTCCTAGGTATGCATGGTCTACCAGTAGACAAAGCATGCCAGGCTGGACACTGTTCCTACCTCTGCCTATAAAAATAGGCTTCTTGTAAGCTCTTGAATAAAGTTAGTATTTCAGTGACAGAGCCAAACTTTATGTGGCAGCATATGTTTATCATAAAGTTGACACACCTACTTTTCATACAAAAACTTAATAAATGCTCATGTAGACAAGAACTGTGGTGGTTTAGCCCCAGCTGGCAACTAAGCACCACGCAGCTGCTCACTCACTCCCCCTCCTGCAGTGGGATGGGGGAGAGAATTAGGAAAAAAAACCTCGTGGGTTGAGATAAACATGGTTTAATAGGACAGAAAGAAGGAGACAATGATAATACCAACAAAGGAATGTACAAGAACAAGTGATGCCCAATACAGCAATTTCTCACCACCCAGTGATCGACAGCCCATCCCCAAGCAGCGATTTGTGCCCCTCAGCCAACTCCAGTTTATGTACTGGGCATGATGTCGTATGGTAGGGAATATCTCTTTGGCCAGCCTGGGCCAGCTGTCCTGGCTGTGTCCCCTCCCAGCTTCCTGTGCACCCCCAGCCTGCTCGCTGGCAGGCCAGCATAAGAAGCTGGACTGTCCTTGACTGCTCAGCAACAACCCAAAACATCAACACATTATCAACAGTTTCTCATCCCAAATCCAAAACACAGTCTTACACCAGCTTCTGTGAAGAAAACCAGCTCTATCCTGGCTGAAACCAGGACAAAGGTCCTGTATTAATGCTCTGAAAAGTCTACAGTATAGTTTCAACTCTAGCTATACAGTCTACTAAAAGGCAGCACTCAAAACCAGTTGTTGAATTAACAGTCTGTGAAGCCCTAAAACTCTGCCAGCTAGGATGTACTGAAAACTGCCTTTCAAGGTAACTTACCATTGACAAGCCTGACTAAAAAGTAACTGGTGACAGACAAATTGCAGCAGTGTGCAGCTGCAAGTTCCTGAAGAACCAGGTAAAGAAATTAGCATTAACCTTCCAGCATTCCCCTTACCTTTGATACTTTGGGCTTTTTTGGAGGAGTTCAGAATTAAGTCTTATCAATAGTTAATACAGCCAGCTTACATTCTTAAAGTGTCTCTTGTTGATGCTTGACATTATGTACCTAACAAGCACAGCATCAGCAGTTTGTTAGTCTGTTACAGCAACAAAGCTCATCAAATAGCCTGGTGTAGAGAAGGACAGGGTTAGTACCAATACTCTATTTTTTCCAGTACTCGCTTTCCTTAAGTATCTTAAGTTTATGATACTGGCAACATTTGGTATTTCAAAAGCACCTGTTTGTTGTAAAGTTACTGCAAAGTTGGTCTGTAAATACTACACATGGGGTCGTATTTGTGGATTTGACGACTTAATCTCTTTATTAATTGACAGCAAACTTCAACTATTGTTCAAGGCTTCTTAAATGGCAGAAATCCCGGTAATCAAGACTTAGGGGACAGACTCACACTTTGTTCAATTTTATTTCCACAGAACCACATATTCTTCTCTTCAGAAGACCTCTTCCAAAGGATGAGCAGAAATGAACCATCATCTAGAAATCTCCTAAATCTTCTGGAACTATGTATATGAATGTATATATGTTGGTAGTATTCAGTGAATACTTTAAAATGTACAAAACTTACAACCGTACCTGTGCATGAGCTGTATTATTCACAGCAACAAAGCTCAGTCAAATGCAATTCCAAGTAGGCTGCTATGGTGTTCAAAGAGTGAATATATCTTCTTTTAATGTAAGTGCCTATCTGAATTTTCAATGAATTTTATTAAAGTCGACATGTTGCATGTTCTCACTAGATTATTGAACACAGGTAGCAAGTGATAACTTTTGCACTCAGCTTCTCTGCTGAAGTGTAGCATGTTCAAATCCAGTAGCTTACCTGTTTAGTAGTTGGCATAAAGAAATAATTTTATTTTTAATGCTTTTAAACCTAGTGTCTAGAGTTTTGATTCACAGGACAAAACAAATATTCATTGTCCAACAACTTAAGAGTACCTACTTAAGGAAAAAAGTTAACTTAGTCAACCTATTTTATTTCTCTAAGAATTATTTTGCCTCACAGGTCAAAGTTCCTAACCTTGACTGCTTGTCATCTTTCTTTTCATAAGATGTCTGGTGATGGGATGCAAGGGAATGGTTTAATGCTGTGTCAGGGGAAGTTATTCACTGAGAGGGTGGTGAAGCACTGGATCTAGCTGCCTGGGAAGTGGTCATGGCCCCAACACCCCATGTTGGTGTTCAAGAAGTGTTTGGACAACACATTTAAAGATATGGTTTAACTTTGAGGTTGCCCTACATGCAGTCAGGAGTTGGACTTCATCCGTGTGGGTCCCTTCCAACTCAGGATATTCTATGATGACTTGATTTAAACTTGTCATAAGGTGTTAAGTAGTACTTAATATTTCACAGGAATATTTTTATGCTTGTTTTATTTACTTTGGTAGTACCAGTTTATCTTTCTGTTGCAAAAGTTATAGTCAGGGCTTTTAGACTGCACTTCTTGTCTGGCATCCTGTTTTGTTTTCTGGGAAGCTAGCTTGTACTCTGTGTGTAGGCAGTAGTGGTTCAGAAGTGTTGCTAAACCAAAGTGAGTGCTTTTCGTCTGACAAAAGTAGCTGCTGGTTGTAGGACAGTATGAACTCTGTTTTCTTACTATGTAAAAGGTCGGGGTTAATGTAGTTGTTAAGGGAGAAGCGCTGCCCAAGCACTCACATGCCAATCAAGGAGCTGCACACACACCACCTGAGGCTTTAACTGCTCAGACCTGAGTCCCTTTGCAGTGGGCGGCTCCAGTGAGCCCATGGGTGCCCCTTTTGACTCCTCACACACTCACCCTCACATGCCACCTCTTCCCTCAGGCTTGACCCTAGGTTTCCTGAAGAAGAATCTCTGACATGAGGTGTGCCACATGAATTTATCAGGTGGTACAGCAGTGTAGCACAGACCGAGCTGGGTGCCTCTGGAGAGGGTCCCTGAACAAAAGAATCTCTGGGCAATTGCACGCTTACAGTCTAAGTTCCTCTCACCTTATGAAGTGGTTTGGGGGCCTGGGGTCTCCTTGTTCCTCACTGGATCCTTTCACTGTCTCCAGGTGGGCTGTCCTTTATCTACTCTCAAGGAGGCAACTTTTGCTGATGGATGTGACTTATCTTACCGTTCCAATTTATACCTGTTTCAGGGCCTTCCCTCATGTGACTAAGGCAGAGTTCAGTGTAAGTTCATCAGTATCAATGTGAAAGATCACAGCGTGCGGCCTACAGCTTTTTGCTAATGCTATACAGTGGATCCTGTTTGAACTAGGGAGCGACTCCTGTAACAGTCCTCTCTTTTTTTTTTTTTCAAGCATTCCTTCTTAGTATGTCAAAGTTTGTGAAATCTTTCAAGACTAACAATTATCCTCCATGTTCTTATATAAAAGATAATTGTAAGTAATAAACACAGTAAGGTTAAACATAATACTGTTATCCTGGGATGCAACATAAGCTTATATATTCCAGTGGCCATGGCTGACCATCCAAAAAGGGATTCCCACTAATGGTGGTCACTGTCCCTTCTGACTCTTTCAAGGATGTGCTGAATGTCTTCATCAACATGGTAGACAGTGAGCAATGCTTTTTTCCCCATTTTCTTTTTCTGATATTTGCTTCAATTCCCTCTGGTGTAATAATTTTCTTACCATTGTCAGATTCGTTCCAGTAGAAGTGGGTGACAAGTTTCGCTATAAGGAATAAGCTGAGTGTAGTAATTGATGGGATGTAATAGGAGCTCAATAATTAAAGTTGCATCCCATGATTATAGTAAAGTTACAAACATTTGAATAGTTATTTGTCTGCACAAAACTACTATCTACAAATATAAAATTACGGAGTGTTCTTATGCAGACACATCAACTTCCGATATATAGAAGTTTGGTTTCAATGGTTTCATCAGGATGCATTTCACACTGACAGACATTTTGCTTGGCATCTAAACATACATGTTGAGCTTCAATGGTAGTATTTTCACAGACCCTTCTTGTTCTCACACAATACCTGCACCTACATCAATTGTTTGACATTTATCCCCTTTCTGTTGAGCCCATACTTAATGTTCTATTGGATAATGTACAGTTTCTCTGTGATTCAACCCTAAGGTTATGATGGGATGTATAGTAAGCATTGTAAGATGCATTACATATTGTTAATATGAAAACTGGCTTTTTGGGTGAGAGGGTGAAAAGTGAAATTAAATACCACCACAACTGGAATTCTCTTTCGAATTCAGTTGTGTTATCCCAAATTATCTGTCAAATCTCAGTGGGTAAAATGCGTTCTTCACCTTCTCTTATAATTGCTTTTGTAGATTGTATCCATAATTGCACCTGTGTATACAGCTAAGAGCAATGAGATACACTTGGAGTAGAACAAAACAGTATCTACAATCAACTGGTCTTTTTCATTAATTCTCTCCCATTGGGACATAACAGACAAGTCATTGATTGGTCCCTAAAGCTAATAGAAAGGACCATAAGGGGTGTTCCAGTTTGTCCATTTCACACCCTGCCAAGAAGGACTTGGGGGTACTGGTGCGTGAAAAGCTGGACATGAGCCAGCAATATGCACTCACAGCCAAGGCCAACCATATCCAAAGCAGCATGGCCAGCAGGTCAAGGGAGGTGATTCTGCTCCTCTGCTCTGCTCTGGTGAGACCCCACCTGGAGTCCTGCATCCAGCTCTGGAGCCCTCAGCACAGGAAGGACAAGGACCTGTTGGAGCAGGTCCAGAGGAGGGCCACCAAAATGATCAGAGGGATCGAACAACTCCTCTATGAAGAAAGGCTCAGAGAGCTGGCATTGTTCAGCCTGCAGAAGAAAAGGCTCCAGGGAGACCTTCTTGCAGCCTACTGGTACTTAAAGGGGGCTTAAAAGAAAGATGGGGACAGACTTTTTACAGGGCCTGTTGCAATAGGACAAGGGGTAATGGTTTTAAACTGAAAGAGGGTAGATTTAGACTACACATAAGGAAGAAATTTTTCACAGTGAGGATGGTGAAACACTGGGCACAGGTTTCCCAGAGAGGTGGTAGATGCCTCATCCCTGTATACATTCAAGGTCAGGCTGGATGGGGCTCCAAGCACCCTCATGTAGTTGAAGATGTCCCTGCTTGTTGTGGGGGGTTTGGACTAGGTGACCTTTAAAGGTCCCTTCCAACTCAAACTATTCTATGATTCTATGTCATACTGAGCTTGCTTACAAGTATTTTAGCATCTATACCATTAGGTATTTAAAGTCCTGCTCCTAATCCCAGGAGGACAATAGACATGCTGCTTTTTGTTCGTTTGGCAGGGGACAGAGTTCATACATGTAGCCAATCTAGCCACCCCATGGAGGATGTACTTATGCATGGTGCACAAGCTGATGTAATGGACAAAATGTTTACCTGCATTAATAACTACTCATTTTAATGACCATGAGGGATTAAACAATACTTGTTGTCAACCCATGTTTTTCATAGCATATGGCCCAATCTTAAATATTTGTGGGGTCAACTTGTCCATTCTCAAGGGAGCTGATGTTGATAATGTAGTGGTTAGAGAGACAGTTGTCAATACTGGCCAGGTAGTTCCACAAGTTACATTAATGTGTACCCTATGAACTTTTAATCTAGGCCTCTCCCACACACAGCACCTGGAGTCTAGCATTAAGCAGCAGCTGATTTTATTGAAACACTGTGATTTCTTTCTAGTATTTAGTTTTACCAGAATTAGATTGGGAGGTGTATCTGTCTCACAGCAGAAAACAAGGTTTTTTGGGTTTTTTTCTCAAGGGACTGGAACAGGTATTCCCCCATAACTTAGATAAACTCGCTTCCTGTTATTATCAATAACTTTTGTCCACTCAGGATCACCCATCTATTTTATACTTAGTCATGCTATTACGGTTGTCTGGGTTGTCATCATGAAGGGCAGCGAGATGTCTCACATCATTGTTATTGTTGCAAGGGTTCTTCAGTAATCAATTATTTATCGGTGGTTGGCTATCCACCACTTGCTTGACATGTGAGTGGTGTATCCAATTTTCTTTCCCTGAAACTTTAACAGCAAAGTAGGAACATCATAAGACAGTATATGGCCCTTCCTGTTTCCATTCTAACTTACACTTATGAGAAAATATCTTTATTAGAACTACATCCCCAGGCTGTATATCATGTATCTGTATTTCAGATTATGTAGATTGGTAGCATTGAGCATGTTTTCTGTGGTTTGCAAACTGTTTCTGCATGCTTACAACATACTGAGTCAGTCATTCCTCTTCATCCAACAAGTTGGTCTAAGCTGGGATATGTTCCTGGTATGGCCAAATATCTTCCAAAGAGAATTTCTGCTGGTGTTAGTCCCATGGGTTGTCACGGGGCATTTAGCACATCCCGTAGGGCTAAATGCAATGTGTCTGGCCATTTTAAACCAGTACTTGTAGACATTTTTGCTATCTTTTAAGGTTTTCTTCATTTTTTTTTTCTACTTGTCCTGAGAATTGCAGATGGTAGG